AGGAGGGGCCCATGAGCCTGAGACCTGAGGGGCCACCGGGGCAGGAGGGGCCCATGAGCCTGAGACCTGAGGGGCCACCGGGGCAGGAGGGGCCCCTGAGACCGGGATCTGAGGGGCTGCCAGGCCAGGAGGGACCTATGAGCCCAGATCCTGTGGGGCCACTGGGCCAGAAGAGGCCCCTGAGACCAGGACCTGCGGGGCTGCCGGGCCAGGAAGGAGCTGCGAGCCCGGGACCTGTGGGGCCACTGGGCCAGAAGAGGCCCCTGAGACCAGGACCTGAGGGGCTGCCAGGCCAGGAAGGAGCTGCGAGCCCGGGACCTGCGGGGCTGCCAGGCCAGCAGGGGCCTGTGTGGTCTTCGGGGCAGGGGCACGCGATGGAGCTGGTGTTGCCGATGGAGCCGGGGGCGCTGCGCTTCCTGCAGCTCTACCATCAGGACCTCCTTGCCAGTCTCGGAGATGTCGTCCTCTTCCCCCTTGAAGGGACAGATGTGACAGGTTTTCGGGTATGCGACCCTGGGACCCCTCGCTGTCAGCCTCTCTCCCACTGGGGTCTCGGGGCACAGTCCCTGTGCCCTGACACTGCAGACGCCCCTGCCCCACCCCTGCAGCTCTGTGGCGCCCCGGCCCCGTGCCAGGTGGCTGAGGAGTTTTTGTTGAGCCTGCTGGGCAGTGTGAGTGGCCACGTGCTGAGTCTGAGACACCCTGGCAGTGCCAGTTTCCTGCTGGGCCCAGAGGGGCAGCACCTCCTACGGGGGCTGGAGGCCAAGTTCCAGTGCGTGTTTGGGACTGAGCGGCTGGCCAGGAGCACCGTGCATACAGGCCCTGAAGAGGTACAGGTGGAGCCTTGTCCAGACCTCCCCTTTTCTGCACCTGGGCCAGGCAGGGGTGTGACCCTTGGGGGCCCTGGCCTTTCCCTGCAGGTGGACCCCACCGAGGCCCTCCAGCCCCACACCTTGTTGGCCCCAGACGGTGCAGCCTGCGACCAGGACAACATGAGCCTGGGTGAGTTTCCCTGAGAACCCTCGATCCATCCTGGGGCCCATCCTGACCTCACTCTCTGCTCAGGTCTTCAGCCCACCCGACACCTGACCCTTCCCACCCCCACCCTGTAGGCCCTAAACCTTCTTCATTTTCTCCCTGATTCCTCCGACCCCTACTGGGCCCGACCCTGACCCAGTGCCTCTCCTGCCTCCAGAAGAGGTCCGAGAGCTGTTGGCCACCCTGGAGGGCCTTGACGGAGTGGAGTGGCTTCCCCCGGAGCTGGGGAAGGATCGTTGCGAGGAGGGGGTCCCCCAAGAGGAAGAGGAGGCAGGGAGTCCGGCGTGCTTAGAGCCGGAGCTTGCAGCCAGGACCGAGGCGGAGCCCAGGGCCCCCAGCACCAGGGCTCCGGGGCAGCTGGAGGAGGAGGCCGCACTGCAGCTGGCTCTCCATCGCTCGCTGGGGCCACAGGGTGGGGTAGCCGAGCGAGAGGAGGCTGCAGCCTTGCAGCAAGCCCTGGCCCTGTCCCTGCTGGATCGGCCCCTGTTGGAGGAGGAAGAGCCCCTCAGGGGCGGGACCGAAGGGCTGGCCCAGCTGGTGGTGCACACGGTCTTCGAGCAGGACTTGGAAGAGCTGGAGCGGGCGCTGGAGACCGCCTTGGAGGCCAACCTCTGGGAGGAGACGGTGGGCGCCCAGGGTGGAGAGCTGCCCGAAGAGCTCCGTGTCCAGCTGGAATGGCGCTATGGCGTGAGCATCGGCCTTTGTGAGGATGGTGCTGTCCTCCGTGGCTTCGGGGCCCAGCCAGCCCGTGCAGCCCGCCACCTTGCAGCTCTGCTGGCCGTCCCCTGGGGTCAGGGCGAGGCCTTTCCCCTGGCGGCCTCAGGCCCCTCTCGTGAGTGGAGCCGGCATGGTGGTGGGTGGGTGGGCCAGTCATCGGGGGGCCCACATACAGCCCTTACCTTTTTCTCTTTGTGCTAGTGCCACAGGCAAGTCTGAGGGACCCTTTTGGCAGGCTCGAGTGTCTGGCTGAGAGCTCTGAGGAGTTCCAGGAGGTGGTGCGGGCCTTCTATGACACCCTGGACGCTGCCCACAGCAGGATTCGGATTGTCCGAGTAAGAACCATCTGGGTCTGGCCCAGTCTGTGTCGCTTTCCCTGCGTGTGGGAGACGTAGGCCGGGAGCTGGGGGATAGGGCGCCCGGGGAATCCCAGCCTTGTCCCTTGCTCAGAGGGAATTCACAAGTTGGGTAGGTGAGACAGAGTTGAGCGGTTCGGGGGCCCTGGAACTGATGCACCTCAGTGAGGGCCATTGCCCCACCTATTACGGCCACATGACTGTGGATGGCGTTGTTCTGCTCCGTGCCTCAGTTTTCCTGTTTGGAACACAGGTGGAAGAGGAGGCCGCGTTGCAGCTGGCTCTCCTCTGCTTGCTGGGGCCACAAGGTGGGGTAACTGTTTTGTGGTTACTATGAGGATGTGCCTAATGCTGGTCTAGGTTCTGGGATTCTGGTCTGAGGCATCCAGTAGGGAGATGTGGGCAGGGACAAACATGCCGTCTGTGGGCCACCATGAGGAGAGTTGGGGAAGAAGGGGAGGGGACAGTCAGGACATCAGGAGGAGTGGTGGAGGGCTGCCTGCCCGCCCCAGGAACTTTGTGAATTGGTCAGGAGACGAAGCCACAGGGCAGTGGGAAGCCGGCCAGGACCTCCCACCATCCTGTGGCCAGGAGAGCTGGATGGCCCCGGGGCTGTGGAGTGCTGGGGTCCTGGAGGTTTTTCAGAGGTAGCGCTAAGGAAGTTTCCAGAAGGACTGTGTGTGTAAGAGGATTAGGATGATTTGGAGGTTTGGATCTGAGCTGCTGGAAGGCCGGCTCCACTCAGCTGAGCTGGGGGACTGGGGAGGGAGCCAGGCCTGGCTGGGCCCTTGGGATGGGAGCCAGCCTGCAGTCACATGATTGGGTCACCCCACCCAGAAAGTGAGAGGACAGGAGAGAGGGCCAGGGCTCCCCAGCCAAGTGACCAAGACGCAGTGGTCCCCTGGGAGGAAGACTGAGGGTGCCCAGGGCTGAGGAAGGACCTTCAGTGGGGTGACAGCAGGTCAAATGGTAACCTCACTGAGCTGAGGTGGGGGGCAGAGTGAAACCGTCAGGAACCCCAGCCTGGAGACTGGGGGGGGGGGCCGGTTAGAGGGCCAGGCAGGCATGAGTACGCAGTGGGGATGGTCTCCACTGCTGGGGAGGAGGGTCTGTGGCCTGCTGGAGAGGGCAGGGGGAAGACTGCGAGTATAGACAGCTCTGACCCAGGGAGTGGCTGGAGGGGACTGAGGGGTGGGCGATGGTTTTCCAGCCCTGAACCGGGGAGGGGGCTGGACATCGGAGGACCCTCGTGGGAGGCAGCAGTGGGGGCGGAACTAGCACTGCTCTGTGGGGTTCTCCAGGATGGGACCTTTCATTTCAGAAGCAGTTTGGTAGGCTTTTCTTCTGAGGTGCCTCTGGGTGGTGTCAAACCACCAACCTCTTTGTCCAGTAGTTGAGCATTTAATTGTTGGTGTCCCCCAGGGACTGCTCACAAGGTAAGCACCTGTAAGCAGTGTTGTTGATGGAAGGTCCCTGCTCTCGGTGCTCAGAAGTTGAAGTGGGTGAATCCCCTTGGGAGGGGACAGACTCTAAGCTCAGGATGCCCTCTTGGAGGTTTAGCCAGGAGCCAGGAGAGAAGGGGGGGGTGGCTCTGGGCACCCATGTGGGAACAGGGTGCCCTCCCCTCCTGGCCCCCTCAGCACGCTGGCCCCAGAGGTGACCGCTGGGGAACTGCCCTGAGTTCTGGGCAGAACTACAGTCTCTGCGCAGAACCCTCAGTCTCTGTGGGAGGTGGCTGCATCTTTGCCAGGTCTCTGAGCCTCCTGAGGTTCATAGTGATGATGCAGAGCCCCAGAGAATGCTGGGAGTTGTAGTACAAGAGCCCAGGTGTGAGGGGAGACTGGGAGAAGATTTCTCACTGCTGCCCACCCGTCGTCCGTGTTCATTGACTGTGGCCAGGCCTCGCCTCACCACTGCCCCTGCTCCTCTCTCCCTCGGTCACCTACCCACCTGTGGCAACCCACCCACCACCACCCACAGCCAGCATCCACTCACAGCCACTCCTTTCTGGAGATGGCCATGTTAATCTGCTTTTCTGGTTAGGACTTGGCAGCTGTCAGCTCCCCACTTTGGAAGAGGAAGGACTTGCCCAGCTCCTGGCTTTGTTAATTGCACACTCCATCTTTTCCTTCAGTTAAGGAGCTCTGCTGGCTCAGTGCCTAAGGCATCTGACTGCTAACCAGAAGGTTGGTGGTTCAAACCCACCAGCCACTCCTTAGAAGGAAGACCGGGCAATCTACTTCCTTAAGGATTTATTGCCTCAGAAATTCAATGAGGGTCTCTATGAGTCAGAATCGACTTGATGGCAGTGAGTTTGTTATTTTTTTTTGTTTTTTCCAATTAACTATTTCAGAGACTGTTTGCCCTTCCTGCAGGCAGCTAGGGAGAGGGTCCTTGGCCTTCCCTCTTTGGCCTCTTCTGCTCACCCTTTGGTCAGTTACATTGTGGGTTTGCTGTTCTGAGGTCTGGGGACCTCCGTGCTTCCGCCACAGACTGAAAAACATTTCCCACCCACTGCCCTCAAGTGAATTCTGACTCACAGCGCCCCTACAGGACAGAGTGGAACTGCCCCACAGGGTCTCCAAGGCTGTCAGTCTTCACAGAAGCGAAGCCCAAACCACACCCACTGCCCTGGAGTCCATTCTGACCCACAGCGCCCCTAGAGGACAGAGTGGAACTGCCCCACAGGGTCTCCAAGGCTGTCAGTCTTCACAGAAGCAA